TGGTTGCCTATCGTATTCTGACACAATTTAGTATACTGTTATTTATCCATTTTACCTGTAAACAAAGATCTAGCATGGTTTCCAAAAAATTTAGACCGAGTTACCAACCAGGAAGGGGCTATGGAACAACACCTCATTAACATCAGTCAGTAAGCAACGTCAAAAACCTCTTTGTTTGCTGTATTCAGAACCTTCATATTACAACAGAAATTCTGATGCCCAGGCCATCGCTGTGACACCCATATTGTCCTGATGATCGCGGTACAATTCAACTATCATCAATAAGAAAGAACCACATAATCGATCAACACAGAAAGGTGACGCCAAATGAAAAATCTAATGAACCTAAGTGTAAAATACCAACTCAGGACAAAACACAGAATACACCTAGCCCTACTATCAGCCTAACTATCTAGGCATCCAGAGCACTTTGAAGCAGTCGGTGGTCGCCGGGATCAAGTCAGTCAGTTTGCGAGTAACTTGACATTCTTAAAACCGATCGCCTACTAGGTCGGTTGGCGAAGTTGATTTACAGTTGTAAATGCGGTTGAACAAGTATACCGGTCCTATAAATCTGTGCTGCAAAGGCAATCATAGCTCACGGTAAATGTCTCCTTAGTTGCAAATGTACAGCCTCATTTGTTGACCATGTATTGTCTACATTGCAACACGAACTGATCAGCCAAATTAGAATACAAAGGGTTTGCAGCTATAATAGGCGCTTCTTCGTCTTGCGACATTCGACCATCTACCCTTCGATTTCCTATATAACTGCCGCGCTGTACTAACATGCTGCCAAACTCACTTTCCAACTTTTGCTACGAGATCCCCACTGGCTCACCTAGAAGTATGACCAATGTAAAGAATGCAAGTTCAATCCAACAGAATTAAGCACAAACAATGAAAGATTTTGGGTAGTAGCCCACAGCTTACTTGGTAATTTGTTTTTGCGGATGTGGACGAGTATCGGTCAGTTGAATACTGGAGAGCTTTGTCTCGATTCGGCATGACGAATCCGTAGCAACTTGGCCAGAAACGCTGAGATTTGCGAGACTAAACAGGGCCAAATGGATGTCAGCCGGAAGCTTTCCTTGCCAATCAGACTGGAACACATGGAAATTACAGGACTGTCTAATCATCAATTGAAACAATTGAGCAACCTTCCAAAGTATGCTGGTCTCAGACACACATCAAACCAGTTATCAAAATGGAATACAAGAATCTACCATCTAAGTGAAGATGAAAATAACGCTAATGTTGTGCAAATCTGCCGGAAGCTTGATCACATTACTTGATGTGCACTGCCAACCATCTGTGAATAGGTGAATAAGAGTTCCAACGGATTTTACGTAAATCGTGAATTCACGTCCAAACTAACGGCACTAGTCCAGGTGATCACTGTGAAGTTATAGACGAAAAACACCACGATGAAAGAACATACCAATGACCTCCACGGACCATAAGAATCACTGATCAACAGACAATACCTATGCACCTCGGTGTTTTCCCGTTCTTAATCTCACTGAAGTAAGTTCCACATCTACCGTCTGTCGAACAAACAAGAGTGCAGCTTAAGAGTGGCATGGGCCACCAGGCTACCATGGGCATACGCTGTGGTTCACGACTGTTTAGCTTCCACTCTCGGGGTTAACAGCTAGGGAACATTATTTGAGTATCCTAATGGCATTGAAGCTCCCTCTTCTGCTCACAAATCGGTCTTAGTGCATCGGGTTTACGCAGAACAGAAGTCCTTCAGCTGGTTGCACATGCGCCCAGTAAAAGCTAAATGTGGTATCAGGTGTTGTGTGCGGGAATTCATCGGTCTAAGTCGACGTGACAGGCAGGTCCGGAACCGGATAACAGTCCGCAATGTGTGAATGGACGTAAATTCGTGTGCACGAACCCTCACAATAAGCCATGCAAAATGAACGGGAAAACTGCTTCAGGTCTTAAAAAATGGTAGAAAAACGAATGAAAGTGCTACAACTTATTGATATTCCATTTAGTTGATAATCGATAACTTGGAAGTAGTTTGGTAAACATGTGGTATTCCACTGCACTCTGCAAGGTGACAATGGTAATGAGGGAAAAGAAAGAGGATAGGTCTATCCCATTCCAGCTGACATTTGGCAGGTGGAAAAGTGCGACTACATTAGAGGCCCACAAGGCCACTGTACAAGTATCCAACTTCGGGGCCCACAAGCCACTGTACAATTATCCAACTTCGGAAGTGATTTTTGATGAGATGTAAGGATTTAGAAGATGATAAAAACGAGTAATCACCAGTAGAACACAAAGTCAATCAAGATTTGACAGGTGGACGTTAAGGCAAGTTTTGAATTGCGGAACATTGTGGGGAGCTGTAAAAAAGAAAGATGTCAGTGAAGGTGACATCTCACATCCTGACATGACTGTTTTCAAGTTAAATCGGTGAATTCAATCCTCAACAGGGAAACCAGCCATCTTAATCTCTTGCATGGACGATGAAAATGATTTCCAATATCGCTATGGCCCATCCAGAGGAATTCAGTTCAGCTTAATGTCCTTGTGGAAAAGTTTGGGTTTTGTTTAGCATCAAAGAACAGATCCAGGTGCGAGTCAAGCACAGAACTAAGTCCTGACTGCCAAACACAAAAGCGCAATCTAAAATGTTTAACTGACCGCTCTTTACGAACAAGCAACGTTCTAAAGACCACTTTAAGAGGGAAACATACCGCGGAGACTTCGCCTGAGAAGAGTTCTAGAGTCACAGCATCCATCTCTACAGAAAACCGAACAGCAGTTGTTGGCGGTTTGTCTGTGGCAACGGTCACGGTTCTAGATGCTTCGATGGGTCGCTCCTGCTGACCAGACAGTGTGCGACGGCTAAACCCTCCTCATGAAGGTGTGGCCGCATCAACTGGTTTCTGGGATGAAGTAGTTGCAGGCACTTCGGCAAAATTGTCCATCACCACTTCCTGCACAACTCGATAGTCCCCTTGGCACAAAGAAATCTGTTGAATATCCAGATAGGAATTATTGAATTGGAGCCAACTAGCACGGCAACGAACGAAGATTGACAAAGTGTGGAAAGAGTAACTAAGGCGCCTTCCCCGCCAGACACTGAGTACGATGGATTAACGTAAACATCAACCAAAAATCATCATCAGCAGTACCATCTGTAAACTGCATTGAATCGCGCGGTAGCTCTAACCACTAATGTTTCGTCTTCGGAAGAAGGAACGACACATCTGTGAATAAAACAAGCTGACTGGGAATGAGTCTGTCACAGCCTATGAGAAATTCAGCCGAAGAGTGCGAAAAAACGGAGAACCTGCTCTTTAGAAAATGTTCACAACATCTGATATAGAGTTAAAAGACAAACCGGGATATCGCATCATCTTAAAAGGAACGACAGAAAAACTAACATGAATAGCTTTCAGACCTCCTTTGACTGACAGCAATGGAATGCCAGAATAGGCATTTGAACTCAGATTGCGTCGCATCCGAAGTTCGAAATTGATTGGATGAATTATGGGTTTTTCCGTTTTGACCGAAGTTTCTGCCAGCACAGCCCTGAAAAACAGAAAATGGTGAATATATCGGGTGTGTCAAAAAAGCCTGCGCAAGAAATTAGGCGGAACGATAAACGTCAAAACAACTCAGGTGGCAAGCTTACCGAGATTGGAAAAACAACTTAAAATGTAATCTGCGTCGTACGCGCACGAGTTTTTCGACAAAGTGACCTCTGGATCATAAAGGCAAGTACATCAGTGGATCGATCGGAAGTTAGTGGAAACGTTGAGCAGACGCAATCATTTCACTGAAAATACGCTGTGACATAGAAGACTCATAGTTACCATAAAAAAATGTATATAAGTATCAATGGCTTGCTACGCTAAACTGAGTTATCAGACTTCCATTACTCTATGAGGCCGCTTCCCCTATTACAGTTAAACGTTTCGGATACTGCCACAGTGACTGGAAAATTAAGAACGACTAGCGACGACCTGTTGTACCCATCGGTAGGTTGCCTGAGTTCGCTCGTAATTATTTGGTGATGAAAGGAGCAATCCCGATAAAATAATTGTATTCCAAGAACCCGAGAAACAGACCACTCAGGATGAACAGACCAGTTGGGTAACCAGTGACAAGAGAACATGGTGAAAGTAAGGGACCTCCACCAATGCGCTAGTGGCAAACTAATAACACGATTCCACCTTCACCAAGTCAACATCCGACACGACTGCGAACGTGTGCGACGTATCTATCACCGTCCTTATTATACGAAATAGCCCAAATGACAATGTGAATAGCAACGACAATCATAGATCCGATTCTGAAAGAAGTCACTGACCAACGAGTTCAGCAGTTTCAGGGCAATGCATGCCAACTATCAGCCGGAATAATCGCCGGTAGATACGGCTATATCCTTAGGGGGAACGGAAACATACGCCTCGCATATTGCTGACCAACCACAATGAGCAAGATAACACACCACAGAGCCGAGAAAACGGGATTCTATAAGCATTTTGCCAACTATCAGCCAAAATATTCCCGGTAGATACGGCTACATCCTTAGGGAGAACGGGAACATACGCCTTGCATATTGCTGACCAAACACAATGAGCAAGATAACACACCACAAAGCCGAGAAAACGGGATTCTATAAGCATTTCTAACCACAAAGGGTTCACTTAGGGGAACCATAGCTATCATATGCCTTCGACTGACGTTTGAAAGATCACGCATTGTGATTTGCGCGCTTGAAAGGATCATTCAGGTAGCATATGAATGTAGCTTCCGGATATATATTTCTAAAAGTAAAACGAACTGAGTAGATACTCAAACATAAGGAATTATCTCCTTCTCTTGGCTGACCAGTTACATAATGGTATTCTGATTTTGTGAATGTCCCACACAAGAGGATAAAGGAAGTAACAAAGTTCTATGACGACCAGTCCCCGACTCGACTGAATCCAAAACCTTTGGAAATGCATTTAAAAGGATGACCTTTGTCCCCATGAAAAAAATGGCAAAATCGATCATCGACGAGTGGAACAGCACGCAAAACTGAACTAACACAAAAAGAGATCCCAGCTACAACATTCTGATTGACAACTTTTCTTGCAGATATGACGAAATGCAATGGATCGAAACTTTCGAACGCTACATTTTGTGGTTCCTTGTTTCATACGATGACAAAAATTCAAATTCAGAAATGGTAATAACGAATTAAATGTACAAAAGATGGAGCGCAACTAACAACTAGTCTCAGCCATCTACCAATGAACCATGAGTAGGACAATAAGCGGTTGGGCGTTGGACTACGATAAAATCTCAAAAGTGTACTCGGGGTATGAGCGAAATTCATATTAGCTAGCAATGCGTCATCCGTACTACCGACGAAGTAACGTAGTTAGTTATTACGCACCTTAACCACTGAGATGTCTCAAGCTCTAACGATCCGTCGACAATTGCAACGGAAAATTGAACCTCATTTGCAACCGACCGGCCAGCCTGTGAGTAATCCAATTTTTTACGTGTAGATTGATTCGCCTGTATGACGGCTTGTGGACAAACGTTATTAGTTAGCTTGCTGAAATTTCCCATGGTTCCGTCCATCAAAGAGATTCCCAGTGACAGTTGGAGGAAAGCGTCAAATAAATGCAAAAAGTTTGATGCAAAGAATTCGTATTGAAAACAACTAATTCAAAGCCAAAAAGACATCATGTGCATAGAATGACCTACCGGCTGAGGCGTAAGTTCTCCAGGCGAATTTCTGTACGTTCTAACATTATTCCTGGGTCTGGAATCGGACCAACGGCATCTTCGAGGCCTTGATCGGAGGC